ATACACAGTAACACTCATCCTTCCTCCTTCCTTTCCCTCCCCCTGAATTTCTCCACTGAAACTCTGCATGTTTTCTCAGCTGCTACGAAGAAATCCAGAGCGGCGTCTTGGGGCTGGAGAGAAGGATGCAGAGGATGTGAAAAAGCATCACTTTTTCAGGGTGAGTACAAGTGAGTATTATTTCTAAGGACACAAAGGAGCAGAGATGGGAAACTAAACATCAGTTCATTTATTTTACAGCAAATAGATTGGCATGCTTTACTGGCCAAGAAAGTCAAGCCTCCTTTCGTACCTACCATTAGAGGAAGAGAAGATGTTAGTAATTTTGATGATGAATTTACCTCTGAAGCACCTATCCTCACTCCACCTCGGGAACCAAGGATACTTTCAGAAGAAGAGCAGGAAATGTTCAGAGATTTTGATTACATTGCTGATTGGTGTTAACTTCCACACACTGTGAAGCCCCAGCTGACTGGCTCACAAGAATGCCTCTCTCTGAAGAATACTGACCCTTCAATTGCTTTCTGTGCCACCTGCAGCTTCTGGGTTTTTTTAAATCACATGAAGATCCTTTTAAGTACTGTTTTTACACTCTTTTGAAGAGTGGCCTCTTTGTATATTGTTTTTTATCTGAGCACTGGAAAGCAGGTCTATGGCGTTCCTAAGCTGAGTTGGTGAACCCAGGCTGTGCTGAACTTCCTGCACATGGGCACACGTGGATCTGTACAGTTTCTCTCACTCTTCCACAGCAGATAATACCGCTTTTTAAAGTATCTGCCTTAAGTGGGAAAAGCAGACTTTGAGCTAGGTAATCTCCACTCAGCCACACTGAAGTAAGTTGGGATACCGGTGACACTCACACAGAACCTGGTTCTAGTTGGAGAAGGCAAATGATTTCAGCTAAATACTGTGCAGTCTTTAAAACTACACATTTTTACGTACACCTTCATCTTGTGTTCTTAAAATAATGGTATTGAGAACAGATATGCCTTGTTTTGTAAATTTTCTACGGTATTTATTAGGAAAAATGTTAAACACCTTGCCTTTGAGATACTAACTGTGTAAGTGCTTCCATTACAAAGCAAAACCCAGAAAAATCCGGAGAGTTTACCAAAGTCACTTGCCAAACAGTTTTGCCTTCAAGCTCCTTGAGCATGGCTTAAGGCCCTGGTTGGGATGAGGAATGTAAGGAGGACGCTGCTCAGGGTAAGCCCAGAGCGGAGCAGCCGCAAGGCCCAGGTCCAGCCCCTTCCGTACTCGCCTCGAGCCTTTCCTGTAGCCCGAGGGGGCAGAGAAGGTCCCAGTCTGTATCCAACCCCCTCCATCCTCCTGTCTGCTGTACAGTATCATATCACTTAGGAAAAGTAAGCGTTTTCAATGTATACATGCTGTGAACATGTATATTTGGAAGTTGTAATGTATTCTTACCTCCAGGCAAGTAATTTAATTGTACCACTTCACCGATGTTGCGGAGTGGCCAAGTGAACAAAAAAATGTATCCATGTAGGCCACTGAGCTCCAGCCCCTGGATTGGCAGTTACTGAGGGTAAAAAGCAATATGTTGTAATAGAATGTATAAATATTTTTGATAAAAACAGTGTATATTTTATAAACCCCTTAACACTAAAAGCTGTACCTCAAAAGTTGAAAAGTAATTTAGACCAGACACTGTGTGTATTTGTAAACCAAGACCTATTTTTGGCATCTGCTGTTCTGTGGGCAAACATTGACTCTTGGAAAATAAAATTTCCCACCTGGTCCTTACCTCTAGCACTATTCAGCACTGTAACCTCACAGGTTCATCCTGGCCAGGAATTTGCTGTTCATGGGCTAAGGCAGTGGGCATCGCACTCGAATTCAAAACTGGTGATTTTATTAATTCAAAGAAAAAACACAAACCACTGGAGTATGCAATGCTAAGATGGTGGTTTAAAAATCAAGATGCTGGACAGACCTGCAGGGTTAGGCAGGGGAGAGGCTTAAGGGATATAAAAATAAAATAATCATTGCTAGGTCTAAATCAGGCCAGTCCCCCACAGGAATGGGGCAGGCACCTTCCCCAATGCTACAAATCACGTTGGAAAAAGTGAGTCAACTCCTCAGCACTCCTTGTTTCCAGGTTCTACATTGACTAGAAACAAATTATGTTCCTCTATCTAGCTGAAACCAATACTTTTGAGGTACAGTCAGCTCGCCCTTTTTGGTTCCCAAATATATATATACACAAGCATCTCACAGGGTGCTTAATACTTACGAAAGTATCCTCAAACATACCTTTTTGTAACTACATCTTGTACAGAAATCTTTTTTTAATCTAAGCAAATCACTAAAAAAAAAAAAAATTAGAAAAAATTAGAGGGCAGGGTATGTTCACCCAGTTAAGCTGAAAAAAGCACTAATTTTATCTCTGTAGTTTTTTAAATATTTTTAGGCAGATTAAGATTTAAACCCTAGATTGTAAATATATTTTGCTATACTTTATCTGTATGTGGCTGCTCAAGCACTTTGTAAGGAAATTAGGATATTTTAGAATGGTACACTATGCATTAAATGAAATGTGCCTTTAACAAATGTCATTCTAAGTGTTTTGCAGTCATTAATATCACAAATTAAAGGTCTAAATAGAGTAATTTGTAAATTGTGTCGCAAACATGATTTTGCTGTTTCTTGAAGTGGCTGGTCATGTCTTCCCCACAGGTAACTTCAGAAAAGACTGTCAGGAGGGGACCCACTGTCTTGGTGGCAGCTCAGTAGGCTTCTATTTTTTACTTTTTTTTTTAAAGAACATTACAAACTGCCTCTGAGCGGTCTCTGGCTTGGAGCAGTCCAGACAGCTGGAGTCTGGTGTGCCTGGCTCAGCATCCTCCCTCCCAGGCTTCCCCTGAGGGCACAGAGGAGACAACTCCGGCCTGCTCCTGGGTGCTGCTTCAGTACATTTCCTACCCCCCCTTCCTCAGCAAGCTGTGTAACCAAACCACAGTCTGCACCTACCTACCCCTCACTGAGCTTGCTCTTTAGACGGTCCAGAGGATGAAGCTTTCTTCTGAGTGCATTTAGAACAGAACTCTTTGCTTTTAAGAGCCACATGGAATTTTATGCAGCCATTTTGCCCAGAGGCTGACACTTCACTTCATACCCGACTAAACAATTGTTCCAGAAAGGGCTGGCTCCAGCGTTTCGAGGATCTAATCTGAACTGCTGTTGAATTAACGCTTGAAGATGTTCCCTGCACACTTGTGTGTGGGGAATGCAACCCTTGCTCGTCCTGCCTTCTCCGGGCTGGCTGCTGAGCCGCCCCCTCAGAGCCGCCCCCAGCCTGAGGGCAGCCGTGCCGCCCCGGGCCCCGCCCCTGCGCCTGGCTGGCACGGCAGGCGGCAGCTCCCACATTCGGAGCCAGGCCGTACTTCTTCCTGCCATGCTTCACACTAACTAGTAAACTGCAGCCAGTAGTAAGAGGCCCCCAGAATATACCTGCCCCTTCAAGCAGAGTCCTAGCTCTGCCTCCTTGTGCTGCACAGTTACTCCCACACTCTGGGAGATCGAGGACCTGCTGGGTCACGGCAGGATTGCACTTCCCTGCCTCCATCTGCCTCCAAAGCTCCTTCAGAGCTTTGCACAGATTTATTTAAATTCCTGTCCAGGCAGTCTTTGCTGTGTGCAACAATTTCAACTGCAAACACTCAACCGTCACATGTCAAGTGCCTGTGGCTAATGCCCAAAAGGATTTAAGAGGAGCATTATGGGCAATGTACATTTCAGTCACTTTTAACCTTCATGGAGCAGATTTAATCCACAGATCTATGCTGGAAAGCAACACTCACAGTAAAAGTAATTTCCACCTTTGCATGCCCAAGGTGTAGCAATGCATTAATGGTCAGGCCCAGCCCATTCACAGCATCCCACCTTCGCTCACAGAGGACACAAGCAGAACAGCTCAGACCAAGACCAGGAATGCCCAGATAATAGAAAATGTTGCAACAAAGTCAAAGGCAATACATCAGACAATGAACATGTGCCCTGCCAACAACTGAGCATACTTTCTAACACCTGCACCTGAATTTTTCATGGCTGCAACCAACACCTCCTGAGGTGTAAGAGGACTACAACCTACAGAAAAGAAATCTTCAGTTTCCACATTTCCAGTAACTACTGGCAGAAGAGGATTAAAGCTCAACTAGCAAACAAACAGTGAGGGCTACTAATTGCTGTTAGCACTGGACACAGCCTTCCCTCTGACTGGCTTAGACCAGATGTGCAGCAAGCTGACCCCTCAGCTGTTATTTGTGTAGTTAAACTGCATTTGCACCTGTGATGCAAAATCTCAGGAACCACAAGACTCCCAGTTAAGCACATTTGTTGCTCTGTACACAAAGGGATACTTGTCAGGAGGCAACCAGTGTTCAAAGCTCTTAGTCTGGGCAGGGCTGAACAACTTCAGGCCTTCACTCAGCACCTGGCATATCACTTCAAGCAGCAAGTGCTCACTTAGAACATAACCACCAGCCAGCCAGACTGCAGGCTGGGCTGCCAGGTCAGAAATTTAACAAACTTTAGTATAAGTACTTTTTACTTTTCTTTGTACAATACTAAGCATCATGAAGTTACCAGGAATTCAACTGAAGTGAGTCCTTATGCTTCTAAGCAGGTGCTTTGTCATTACCTCAAACTCATAGCAGAGACAGTAAGAATCAGGGAGACTCTGCCAAGGATAGGATTAATCCTTTTGCAACCAGTTTGGAAATATTCTGCAGCAGTTGTGCAAAGCTTGGAACAGCTTTTCAGCAACTGTTTACATTCTGGATGCAAGCACCCACACCTACAGCTCCCTACAACTACCAGAGCAGTCTAGAAATCTAGAAATTGTCTGTAAAGTGAGCATTTAAGCAGCCTTGTGACCAAGCCCACAAGTATGAAGCTCACTCCACCATTCCATGGACTGCATTCCAGTTCTCAGCATGTACAACAGTACGTGCATGTCACATTGCAGTCATACCACAAGATGGTGTTTTTGGAAAACAGTTTATTTGGGAATTACACAATATTTTAAAGTCTCCAAAATACATCTTACTAGATCCCTACAAAAGAAATCTAAATAAGTACAACAGTATCAAATGAAATTTGTTGCAACAGATATTAAATATTTACTTCCACTAATATATACATACAAAATGCCACACAATCAGCTTGTTTACCCTTGGAATGTATGCTGCCTTCCAGCAGTTTGCTCCATCTCCATATCCTCCAGTTCCACAACACGAAGACCCAATATTAACACTTTGTACATCCTTTATTATAGGCAAAAATAAAGAGTTTTTGTTGGGGTTTTTTTTTGGGGGGGGGGTTAACAGAAATTAACCCTCTGCAATCTCACAGCTGTGGTAGCTTGTCTACTGGGGTATCAAACTTGAAGTCTGCTGGGAAAAGATCTGGAGCTCGAGGATAGATCAGCCTGTATGACTGTCTAATCGTAACATCAGCCACACCAGCAATATCACCAATTTCTACAACAAAAAGCAGAGAAGTGGTTAGTTTTTATTTTTGTAATTTGTAATCAAGAAACCAGCAAGCATAACTTATCAAGAGGCACTGGACACTTGCTTCACTTGCAACTCTCCCAAAAGCCTGTTAGAAATGGTTTTAACTGTGGTGACTAGTATTTTGGATACATAAATCTGTCTTCTTATGTGCCACAGTTCAGCTTAGCCTATAAATTGTGGAATAACAAACTTCAAATTGGAAAAGGGCTAAGAGTGTAAAAGTGATTCAAAACATCTACTACATATGACCACCAATATTTTAACAAATCATCATCAACTTCTGGATCTTCATTTTTATGCTTTGATTAAATATAAGCAAAAAACTGAGTCACGGACAAAAACTTCAGTTAAGCATGAAATACATTTACCTTAAAATACACTAAGAAATCAGGCAGAGGCACACAGCACTGTCTAATAAGCTAAGGGTACACTTGTCTGAGATGCACAGAAACTTAAATTTATTCAAGAGTCAGTCAAGTCAGGAATTTAAACCTTGAACTGACATGAGAGCCTTCAGCACTGTCCAAAAACACTGGAGCAGTGTGGAGCTGTGGTGTCCATGGCAAGCAGCTGTATTTTAATTATCACTCTTAAGAGATACAACCCAGTAGCTCACACCCAGCAAGGATGAAGGTACTGAACTTCCTGGGCTCCAGATCACTCACAGGCCCAGGAAAGTGCCAACAGGATGGAAACTCCAGGGACATAAGCAGTTACAAATGCAGAACAAAACACCACAACCTGACAGATAAAAGCTATTTATCCAAAAGGAGTGCTCCATTAAGAAATTGCTACATTTTCAACACTTCTGGACTGGACTGATCTGGACTGGACCACTCGGAGCACTTGAATCCATTTCTCATATCAGGTTCTACTCCCTGCAGCCTTAGCAAATTTCTTTCCTCAGACATCACTGCCTTGCAGCCTCATTCCCTTGAGTCCCAGGGGCTGATCCATGCTGCTCTGCAGCTCAAGAGCCCTGAACTCCTTACTGGCTCCCCACAGGCTCCCCTACCAGCAGGGAATCTGCCCCAGCTAGTCCACAGCAAACCTTGCCTTCCCACACTCTCCATCTTTACCACAGGCTCACAGAAAGGACCATGTACTAATGCAGGGGATTCCCTGGCTACAGGAATTATTAAAGAGTCAATGTAACCCAAAGCCCAAGTGCTCCCTGCAACTGCCACCAAGTTCCTGTTTGGAATATTTTAGAGCAGAAAAATGGACACACAAAAATATTAGCATAGGTGAATTTGAATTACTATGTTCATTTGAATGCACTAGTCCATTGCATTCAAGAATCCAACTCCTAATACCAGAAGAAAATTAACTCAGTTTACACTGAGTACAGCCCATTACTCCATGTTCATTCTGGGGACTGGGAGAACCTGGTTTGGTCCTTGCTGTATGCAGTTAGAAGGGAGCTTATCACTGTTTGCACAGGCCTCATCCAAGTTTTACAGCAATACTGAAGTTTCTTTCAGGAAGGAAGACATGGCAAACTAAAGACAAACCAAAAAAAAGTCAAGTTTTACCTTTTTGTGTCCTTTTCTCTGAAGAAGCCTGTGATGCCATGTAAATAGCTGCAGCTGCTACAGAGATAGGGCTTCTCCCAGGAACCAAATCTAATTCCACAGCTTTACGGGCAATATGTGTTGCTGCCATTTGTACTTGCTTGGGAAGACCCAGATTAGAACAGAATCGTGACATGAAGTCTCCAGTTGTAATCAAATCAACACTGGTTTCCAGAGCTTTCAAAATAAGTTTAAAACACCGGCCTATTTCTTTCTTTGAAATCCTGGACACTGCACATATTTCTGAAAAAAAGAGTATAAATTAAATCTTGGGCTTCACAGCATTTGTTGCCCCCAAAATAATCAAACTTGATTCTCAATATATTAAGACCCACAAAGAAGGCCAATGTCCTGAAGGCCACCATCACTAAATAAGCTGTGACTATTTGTGAAACTTCAGTCAGTGCACATTTATCACAAGGCATTAATTAATACACCTCACTTAGTAAGGAAAGTTGGTACTGAACGCTAGAGAATTACATCTCTGTTAGGGAAAAGCTGCACAGATTTACTACAGAACTGCTGGTTCAAATTCAGTTAAATGATTTACAACAATCTCCATGATCCTCTGACCAAAGCAATGCCCTTTAAGTTTCACCAATACTCAAAATTTTCAAATGCTGAAGCCCCCATGCCCTAGAGGCTACTCCACAAATATAACAAATTCTCACAGACCCTTCTACCCTTCCCTCAAAGGTGAGCTACAGCTGAGAACAACCAATTTGACAAAGTTCAGGAATAAGAAATCCAAACCTCCTACAGTGACAGCAACTAAACCTTTCCTTCATAACAAAATTGAATCTGTATCACTGAAAACTTACCTTTAAATGTTCTTGGAACACCCTCTTGCCTACAGGCTATGTAGAGACAAGCAGAAGCAATAGCATCATTACTTCTCCCCTTCAGGCTCTTTTGCTCATACACTTGCTTGAATAAATTATTTGTTCGATCCTTCAACGCAAGAAGATGAAATTTAATTAACTCTAGGCCATTTAATTAGCAGCAATATCAAAAATTCATGTGCTCATTATATTATGCTAACTAAGTCAATGCCAGAACAATTTAAGGAAGGGAGACATGAACTTACAACTATATTTCTAGGGAGGTTGATTCTGTCTGCCATGTTGGTAATTTCTTTGAAAGCATTCATCATCGCACGATCAGAGCTGCTCATAGTTCTGCGATTTTGGTACTTTGAATTCCCAAATTCATCAAAACTTGCTGCACCTGTGCCCTGAAAAGAAAAATTTGTGTCATCAATAATGCAAGCAACGAAGCCACTTCCTGCTCACTTCAAGAGCAAACCTCTTCCAGCTTTATACATTTTAATTCAAGGCATCAGTTCCAACAGTTGTGCAAATAAACATCACTGAAAGTAACTCATTCAATTGAGCACTGTTCCACACAAGTTCTACACCAGTCTCAAATTGTGAATTGCTTCCCAGAGCCCTCATATCATTTTCTATGGAGTGAAACTAGACAAGGATTCTACCTTGCTGATGAGAGCCCTCTTCAAGAGCCATGCCCAGTATTCAACTCACAACTATAAAAACGGTAGAAAACTCTTCCACCTTCATTGCTTACATAAACCACAGAAATTCTCCCTGCATTTGTTATTTAAATGCACCATCTACTTTCCTTCTGGAGCTTTGAGAGATAATGCTTTATTGATTTCAGTCCTTGACAACCATGTTAGGAGTTCCTTTGCCTTCATGGAAAAAGTCAGAAGCCACACAGTTTTAACTAAAATGAAGTTGACTTTATTAATCATGTGGTTTACTGTTGTGGCCTTTGAGTCAGGAGTTCTACCTGTTTGGCTTTCAAACACAACAGAAACCTCCTGCATACAATCCTGGAAACACCCTTCAAGGTAACTAAAGTGAAAAAAATGCAGTAAAGTAAACAGTGACAATCTCTGAAGGGGCTCAGTGAAGGTCAGGTTTACAATGCTGGCATTCAACAGCTTTGTACCCCAGTATTTCCCCACAGCAGCAGAAAGTATGATCAGTATCACCCACATCACTGATTTGTGGTTAACCACAGCACCAAAGCATGCTCCCTGATCCAGCAGTCCTCTTACTAATGTACAACCAGCTCATATGGATCAGTCTGATGGATCCACTCTCCTTTTTCAATCATCAGCCCCTGATACCTTCTCACTGTTTATCAATATAGCACTTCCAGATTCAGGCCATGCAGTTTAACAAAAGCCAGCTTTCTTTCAGAGATCTGATCAAAGGATAGGAATTCTATGCCAAGAGATTGCATTAGATCTTTGTTCAACCAATATAAATTCTCTTGGAGTTGCAGTTACTACAAAAAAAAAGGAATCAATTAACTAGCAAAGGTGACAAAAGGCACTTTCCACAAAGACAGGAAACAAAACTTGCAGTTTGCTTTTAGATTCCTAGAAGAGAGCTCCCTGTATCAAAGCAAAACTAAAAGATGCTTGTTGAGTTATTTTTCTTTAATTTTATGTTAGAATTTTAGAAATAACTATAACATTCTAGCAATGAAGTCACAATTAACATGACACTTCACCATGCCTCCAATTGATCTGCATTGTAATCAGATCAACTGCAGCATACAGTATCTAATTTCAGAGTTACAGCTCTGTGCCAGTATCCTGAAGATCTGCCTGTAGAATTCAAACCACTTCCAGCAGTGCCAACTATGCTATTCACCCTCCTCTTCACAGGCAAATTAATTGCTCCAATGCAGGCTGCTGCTGCTGCCTCAGACAGATGGGTTCCTCACACATTAAGGCCAATTAGGAATTAATCCCTTTGCACAGGCAGAGTGGCTAACACATACAGATCACACATCCCTGCAGGAAGGGGCCCCAGAGCAGCACCTCCTGCCTTCCCAGAGGAAACAGAGACAAACCACTCTGTGAAGCAGAACTGACCCTCTTCCTCTACTGTTACAAAGCAATACTGTTGTAACTGGTTGAGACTCCATTTCCAACTCCATTCCCAGGAGTCTACAACAGCTCTAACATGACATGCCATGAGAATTATCAATGTCCTTCTCTGCTGGATTTCCCACGAGAGGTGGATGTTTTGGGGTTTTTCTGGAAGGGGTGTTTTTGTGAGGATGAAGAAGGTCAGCTGTAAAGATTTTATCTGCAGTCCTATCTCAAGCAGAAAGAAATAGCCCTGGTCCTGTCCTATATGAAAGGTTAAAGCCATCTCTGGCACACAAATATGGGGTTCACTCCAGGCCATAATAAAACTTGCTGTTAACTGGGAAAATAATAATCTTACCTTGTTTCAGTCTCTGGAATTCACAAAGGTTGTTCTGTACTCTGTCACATACTACTTACCATCTTCAAGACTACACCAATTTCACCCTTGCTCAACCACTGTGTCTATCTATTGCTCAACCACATCCCAACCTGCTAGCAGGGACTTCAGATGACTTCTTAAGAAATGTACTACTTCCTTGCTGCAAAATTCATGCCCTTTCTGCACTGAGAGAGGTCTTCAGCATCTTCTCATTAAAGCCATTCACTTCCTTCCAAACAACTGAAAAAAAAGCAGTCCCTGATACAGAGCTCACATCAAGGAACTGACATCGCAGAGCTCCTGCTTACTAGCAAGACAAACACAGGAACTCTTGTGCAGAAAACATCCTGGTTTGTCAAAGGGACTCTCAATTTCCCATAGAAAATAATGCACCTCTTCAGCAATTCCTCCCTGTGCAAATAAAGTATCCACAGTTGGACTGACTGCCCCCTCTACAATCCCAAACACAATCCTGGCAGCTCCAGCACTTTTTATTCAGTTCTCATAGGTTAAATCATGCCACATTAAAACTCTCATCTTGTCTTTATGGAATGGCACTCTGCTACAGCAAGTTTGCTCCTGCCTATTCTGGGATGTTCTGCTTCACAGCAAAACTTTCATTAGTTGCATGTCCAGCTCTGAAAGTTATTAGTTTTCATGGGCAAACAAACTTTTCATCAAAGTTCCTGTGTGTCTTTAATTCTCTCACTAAGGCTGCTATCCTTCTTTATTCCAAATTAGGATCTGAATGTCCAGAGGGAAGGGGGTTAGCAGCACAAGTCACTGATCACCTGGACACAAAAACCTGTCTTTAGCTGAAATGTCTTTTGTCTTCTCCAATGCGCAGGCTCTAAAGGAGCTCAGGCCATCCTACTGACTGAATCAAACTGACAGGACATTTCCTCAAAGAGAAGATTTCTTTTTCACTAATGGTGAAAATTAGCTGCCCATCAGTATTCACTTGTTGACTTGCTCACTTTTAAGAATTCTTGGATGAAAAGTATGCTGCACACTGCCCTATACATACATATTTAGGCACTTCATCCTAGCAATACCACTGGGACAGAAACTTCTGAGGAAACACGTAAAGCAGAAAAATGTTCTTAATCGGCAACTGCACCCGTTTTCATGAAACATTCAGGAAATACACAAAAAATTAATTTGGACCTTGCAGTAAAATATGAAGAAAGTACAACAATTAAAATTTACCTGGGGATTGCACCACAAAATTTCAACCCAAGGATAGATTGAATATTTTCCTTTGAGGTACTCACACCATGACTTACCTGGGTGACTGCTTCATTAAAGGGAATTCACCTGTGTGGCTAGTTCTGCTTGCTCTCAGGACAAACAGCAGGGTATGATTGCACCACAAAATTTCAACCCAAGGATAGATTGAATATTTTCCTTTGAGGTACTCACACCATGAAAGAATTCTACATTTAATGTTTTAACATTAATTGAAAGAACATGTAAATTGTGATTTCCAGGTCTCCAATATGAATCTGATACAGATTTTGCAACCAAAAAAACAGCAGCACTAGCTATTGAGATATCAACATTAATCGCAGAACCACCTCAAATACACTTGCTAAGTCAAAGTATGCTTCTTTCAAAAGTGCAACATCAGCTTTCCTATTTATAGCAACATATCTAAGCATAGCAAGTAACCCCATAGCACTGAAAACTTTTTGGTTTTTTTGCAAAGGTTGGTCCTTTCCTTGTAGCCCCATTTTATACACTGAAACATGCAACTTCAGTTCAGGTGAAAATCTCTTCAAAAATACATATGTTGTATAGTTTCTCTATGGACATACCATCTGTACTTGAAATAAAAAGACACAGTAAAATTTTAGTATTTCCAGTGTTACCTTGCCAATCATTGTACTCAAGTCACCATCACTGAGCAAAGGATTCTGGGTATCCCCGACTCGAGATGGGTCTTTGGTTGCTTTGTCATTGCTGAACGTTCTCCACTCCGACCCCACGTCTATGACCCGGTCACCTGAGAACACAAGGCAACAGAGTCCACATTGACACAGTGCTTTAAAATATTGCATGAAACATTAAGCCAGGCATCTGAGCTCTGCACTCTAAGAAGGCAGTCTGCTGGCATTCCCAAACACAACAGTAACCGGCAGGACAACAAACCAGAACATTCAGGATCTACAATGGGGAAAAAAAATGTAACTAGCACTGCACAGAAGACATAAATAACTAAAGAAACGCATCCAGAAACCAGGAACTGTCACCTTTATGGATTATCCATTAAGAACATCATGGCATTTCCAATACACAAAAGGAATCAAGATCTCGATTTCAAGCTGAAGTCAAGACTGCCTGTGGATTGTTCTCAATGACTCAGTTGTTGTAACTTAACAAGTTCTATCACACTTGTCATGTGTTAATAGTGCACATGTGCATTACCTATCACGCACAATCCCATCAAGTCATAGTAAATTACTTCTCTTGAATCATTTCCAGGTCCTTTGTACTCCCAATTTTGTACCTTCTAAGTCACCATTGATGACATTTTGCAGTTCAGTTTTTGTTCTTGAAGACAGTTGTGACCCTGCCCAGTTTCATGATGCTTGACAGTATCAACATAAAGTATATATATATTCAACTACTTTTTCTTAATCCCTGTTGTAACTGGACAATTTTCAGTGCAGATACAGAATAAAGAAGAAAAGCACCACATCTTCTGATTGAAACAACTTTCCTTGCAGTCCTCTCAATTTCACATTCACCTAAACCTTTCCTACAACAACTTACCAGTTGGAGAAATAATTCCCACCAACATTCTGATGCAGGCAAAAGCCCTACAGTAAACCCAACAACAGAAACTTGGGGGGGGAAGAATTCATTGTATTCAAAGATCTGATAAAAGCTGCATCGCAAAGGTGTTGCCTCCAGAGCAATACTACAGAATTTTTAAGAACACATGTACAAAGAACACAAAAGAAACATTTTTCTTGGTGCTCTGCAGTAAAGCAGAATACAGCTGAGAAGAAACTTCAGAATAATTGGCACCCTTAGCTAAACCTGAGGAAAAATTCACTGCCTTTACCAATGTTTAAGTTTGTTGTGAGAGAAATGTCTGCAAAAAAAAGTAGCACTGACTGCACAGTTTACAGTATGGAAGTCTTAGAATGAAATCACAGAGGCTGATTTAACCTGGTGAAAACAGACAGAAAAAAAGCAGTCTGCAAACAATACAAGATCTGAAGCTGGAGAAAATGCAGAAGGTGTGGACAGATTGATGCAACTGCAAAATTCCCTGAGGGATACAAGAGGACTCTATTCTGACAGAATAACTCAATTTTTAACATAAAATTATGCAAGGAGGATGCTTGAAATTGAAAGCTGTGAATGAACCAAAAGAAATTGCTAACAAAAAAAAATAAGAAAAAAGCTAACAAAAACTTTAGGCTAAAGGTGTTCTCATCAATATCTGTCAGACCTGTTCACAACTATGGCTCCACCCTTATTTACTGCTCTAATAAAAACCAAGAGGAAGAAGAAAAAAAACAACCATGAAAAACTACAGGGTTACAGATAGAGTAAAAGACAGCACAGATTCATTCTTTCTGCTACAAAGGTCAACCCCCACACCCTTGGCAAGCTTGAATTTGCAGACAGTGTGCTCCTCTGACTCCTGGACTCTCTGTAAATATTTGATTCAGTAATGCTCCTTCTATGGCCTAGCAGTAAGTTTACTTTTAGACAAACCCCCAATACTGTTTACAGCATCTAAAAAAAGAAAAATGTACTTAAAATTCTGGCATGGTATAAATAGAACACTGAGTACAGAGCAATGATGTAATATTTTTCCACACAAATGGGAATGACCTAAATGACTCACTCAGGGATCTGCCTCTTGTGAGTTATGAACCATTCCTGCTCTAACAAAAAAGTTCTACATCACTGCCTGCTTTGATAAACACATCACAAACAGAAGATGGAGACTACTATGTCAGAGTAAGAAAAGATTAAGTACAACAAATCACTGAATATAAAGCATTTGTGTAATTAAGATGCAGTATGCAAATATCTTTGTTTTGCCAAGAAATCTGCTACTACAGAAAAGCAGTTTTTCTGTATACTGTCAGTGTCACAGAAAATATACAGAAATCCTAGGCAGCACATTCCATCTTTCAAAAGGCTTCTATAAAAGTGTGACAGAAGCTAGAAGTACCAATGAAAATGGAACAAATAAGCCCACAGGTTTCCATAGATGGAAAACATATTCAGCCACAAGCAAGATTAGCTGGATTATCCCATTCAACAAGAAACTAAAACAAGAAATAAAATGCAGCATTTATTATCTTTCATTCTTCAATACATAAGCACTTTGGAACTGTGATATTAGTACAGATGCAATTAAGCCCCACTCTAACTGGTCAAAGCAGAACTTTCAAACACTACACTTAATCTTACAAAAAAGCAGCGTAAGAAAGCCTTGAAAATTGGTCCTGAGTAGATTAATTTCTAAACTGAATTTTCTAGGTCATACTCTGCTGACTGGCTTTCCCAAGCTGGAATATGGGTCCAACAGTCCAACATGAGGTAAAAAAGCTCCCAATAAGTACACTATATAGTTGTCTCAGCTTTCTCACATTCTTACATTGGTTTGGGCAACCCTCTAAAACTGCAATAAGGATGGGAGTGGCCACATATTCCTTGGCTACTTCTTTTTGATGCAATCCTTTTGAACAAAAGGGCTTCACTAGATACAGTCACATTAGATACTCCTTTATTTGATTTTCCTCTACCAGATGAGTTCACTTTCTGTTTCCTCCTCTGAAATACATGCAAAACAGTTTACAGGACCAAATCCTTGTGAAATGCATCTCCAAGCTAATATCCCAAAGTACTTTCTGAATAGATGAATTTTTCTCCATTGCTCCATTTCTTTTCATAAACTATTCTTCCAGTATTCAGCGTCTCTTTAAAATACAGTCTAACACACTAACACACAGGGTCCAGTGCAAACACACTGCCAACTTCCCTGCTTGGTAACCAAATTCAGGTTACTCATCATCTGAAAAGCACATTTAATAAAATGCACAAGGGCTACTTAGAACAGAAAACCTCAGGCCAAGGTTACTGCTCTTCACAAGTGACACATGCAAAGAGCATGTGCTACAGAAATGCAAGACCAAACTCAGGTAAGACTCAAACTATTTTAAAATGGACTTTAGAGCAGTTTTTGAAATTTAGATTGAAATAGCTACACATCAAAATTTACAGTAACTCATAAAACATATGTATTTTCTTCTTTCTGCATTTTGCATTATCTGTTATAAGAAGACAAGATAGCTTAAAAGTGAATATGCCTAACCAAAACAAGAAATATGATGGCATTCATGAGCAACGTAATCTTCCATATCCAGTCTTGAAACACTTGTGAGAAGGCATGTTCTTTTCAGAGGAGCTCTAATGTTAGCTGTACATTGCATTAAGTTCTGCATATTGTTAACTAATATTTTAAATTTAGCATAAATACAGTATTAAAAGTTGATTTGCACTCTGCAGATCCAAAACACCTACTGTTAGTAGAGAATGTTTCATTCTCACAGTTAGTTAAGGAATCTACTGCCATCTAGTGAGCACATATATTATACTTTTAATTAAAAGCATTTTACAATGCCAAATTTAAATATAAATATGTGTGTATATATATATAGGATTACACTTAAGTTTCAGTCAGCTCCTTATTAAGCAGAGTAATGAGGTGCTGTGACAAACTACAGTGAAAAACTAAGGAGCAGGCTACAGGCTGGGGGGAATGAAGAAGACATGAAACTGCACAGAGCCAGGCTAAACAGAGTCGGATCAAGCTTCAGGTCTCAAGACTCTCCTAACTCCTAAATCACTTTTGCAACCTTCTTTTGGACTTGCTCCAGCAAGTTTCTCTCTTCCAGGCAGAGAGAAGCCCAGAGCTAGACACAGTACTCCAGGTGTATCTACTCCACATTCTATTTATTAACTTATATACTGCCCCATATGGTAACACACAACCTTTTTTTTCCTATTTTTCAGCCTTAGATCTTCTATTAAGGACCAGATGTATTAAATGTTACCACAGAATAAACTCATGGAGAGGGGAAAAAATAAATTAACACAATTTTACAGTCACCATGTTTTCTACAAAATTTCCAGCCCTCAGTAAGACATTAGTGTTCTTTGTAAAAGTTATCTTGTTTTCAATGAATTGTCACCACCACAAATTAATCATCACAACCAGCAACACCAGTCTATTCACAAGACAGTTAAAATAACTAAAGCAGGCTTTCAGATGGTTAAACAAAACACAAAACCCCCACAAGCAAACAAACAAAAAAGCCACCAATGATTTTAACTAGTTGCCAGACATCAACAGCATCACACCAGTACCAAAAGGCAGCTATGGATTGAAACAGACAGTACAGCACCTCAGGCAAATGACTGCTACAAGAACAAAGGCTTAGCAGCTCCTGCATATCAAAATGATGACAAATCTAAAAGGACTTACAGGCTTCCTAAGCCATCAGTTAGCATAATGATTTTGGAAGAAGCAAATGAGAGTAGAAATGTTAAATGAACAGATGGACAAGTCTGGTCAACTGAAGTTACACCTCCCCAGGACTTGAGGCCTTTAAAACATTAACGACTCAAATACTTGTGAAGGATGCTCCAAACTACAGAATCTCAATTTAAAATGTTGCACCTTATCCACTCTACATCACAATACTTGAGACTCCTTTTCCATCAGAGGAGTTCAGACTGCTTCCAGCCCTTGTTTGCCTAATTACCTTGTCAGCCTGGTAAGGAAGCAAGTTAAGAACCATTCCCTAAATAGGACGATTCAAAATGTTACTGTTACATACCAGAAAAATCTAGTATTTCACTTAATGGAAGCATTAGTGGCCCTCAAATACCTCAGGTCACTAGTGGAAAAACCTACTAACTACCACCCTCCAGGAAATTTCATGCTAAGAGCAGTGTTTGTTACAAAGCCTG